TTTTTGTTTGTCATTGTTTTAGCTTGTTAATATTTTAGTTTGTTATTATTTTAGCAGGCAATCATTTTAGTTTTACTTCATTTAAGCTTGTCATCATTTTAACTTGTTTTCTTTTAGGTTTATTATTTTAGCTTGTCGGTATTTTAGTTTGCCTTAATTATAGCTGGTCATTATTTAAGCTTGACAACATAAAACCTTGTCATCATGTTTGACATTATTTAAACTTGTCATTGTTTTAGCTTGCTATTATTTTAGTTTGTCATTATTTTAGCTGGCCATAATTTTAGTTTGACATCATTCAAGCTTGTCATCATTTTAACAGTTTGTCATTATTCAACTCCTTTTTTTCGTAAAATACACTCTTTGTTCTAAATGAACTTGGTACCTATTTTCATAGGGTTGGGGTAACAAAAAATGTACAGCTTGCCGCAAGCATTTCCTGAAGACTAAGTTTCCAACACATAATCAATTATAATTCAAACGCGCTAAAGCAGACGGGCATCGAAAACTCACTCGTTGCAATATTTAGGAGGGAATAAAGCCGTTTGGAAACGTAACTCAGCCGAGCTTGAAATTTTCAATCATTTTTCCTCGAGAGATATTTTCACGTGATACAAAAAATTGACTCGGGAGATTGCCGACTTTACGGTAATTCGGGATAAGTGTTGCCAATTTGAGGAAAAGCAAGAGTTCGCGAACAAACAAAAAGTTTTGTTCACTCGACCCCCATTTAAACTTAAATAATCGAGTGCGAGTCGAAAATTTGCTTCGTTAGCGACTGTTAATATTGCAATGTTTTTTTCGTGGGAGCGTAGACAAACATATTTCGTATTCATAGGGAAGATAAGGCTCACTGCTTCTATCTACGTTTTCCTCAATATTTGATGAGCGCTTTCCACGTCGTTTGCACGTTTTACAGAGATAAACAACGCGTCATTTTGAAATACCTTTGAATTTTAATCAATCGCAATGTAATTTGAGATTTTGCTTATTTCTTTGCCATTAAATACGCTTGCAAACTATTGAATTACTTTGGATTTAGATGTTTAAATAATTAGCTTGAATTTGGATATTTTTTGGTATCAGTTTTAATTTATTTTAAAACAACAATAGCATCCACATAAATCTTGTTGATTCCCGAACATTTTAATGATGTAAGTGGTCAGTCTTCAGTTGAGTTAAAGGGGCGTATTAATTAAGCATCGAGGCTATTTATTCAGGGTGACGGGTGTCCGTAGTAAGCGGTGACAAGACGGATTACTGAAGTGTCCGGCCGGACGGCCATTAGCACCCCTAATCACCAACAATGCTCGCCTCAATCGATACTCTCTGTGGTGGATTTATCATCGAAACTACGCCGAACATCATGAGAGTATGCTTGTCTTTGTTTTAGCTCTTTTTAATTTCTAATCAATATTTTAGCTTGAATTACAAAAAAAAATATGTGCTAAAACGTACAACAAACGCGAAACAGGCCATGGCCTGACTGCAGTCTGTCTTTTGGATGTGGAGGGAAAGCTCTCCAAGCACCTGATTTTAGAAAGACCATGGTCTCTATAGAGAGCTTTCCCTCCAAATCCAAAAGACCAAAAGCCAGTAATACCCAGGTGAAAAATGAAAGAAATTAGTTACACTACCTGTACAGGTAAACTCAATGTACTATGCTCCACACCTCAAAGTCCCACCACGTGACCACGTACGGAACGCAGTCTTTTGAAAATTTGGCATTTAAGGCTTTTCAGGTTATGTATATGTCAAAGTATAGTCAATGAAAGAAATAATATTTATCGTGTTACCGCTTATGTTTAAGCGTTAAAAGTTAATAAATCTTTATAGTATCGCAATAACAATGGTTGGTTTAAGAATTTAGAAATATAAATACTGCATTTAATGAAATTCCAAAGTGTAAGGTGCAATATAAGTGATATTTTTGTGCATTGGGTCTACATTTCTCCATAAAATAGTTTTAACTAAACAGGATTTACTAAAAAAATCTAACTTCTCTATTATAAAATAAGAATATCTGTATCAAAGGTAGGTTAATGTATTAGAACAAAAAATATCATCTAATTTTGTATTTTAAGGTTAGAAAAATCTATTTTGACCAAAATAAATAAGTGGATTATTTGGAAGAGTGTGTTAATATGGTCATAAATAAATATAGGTATACTAAATAATTGTTGAATATGGTTGAAATTAAATTGAAGCTTTTATACTTTTAACGACAAAACTTGTGCATACCTCTCGGCATACCTACTTTAAGTTAGATTATAAAAAAACAAACAATTTTTAGAGAAACTTGCAATGTGAAAATATTTAATACTACCATGACATGTGATTTATTAAAATTTTTAAAGTTATAATGATTTTTCGATGTAGATCAAATTCAGTCGAAGCTTTTTAACTATTTGTATTGACAAAACTTTATGTAGGTACACTTTAAGCTGGATAAGAAAAACTACCACATTTTTAAATACCATATTATACTGTCTTTTAAATAATCCAAAATACTTATTTATTTTGGTCAAAATAAATTTTTCTAACCTTAAAATTTCAAAATTAGATGATATTTTTGTTATAATATATTAACCTACCTTTAATACAGATATTCTTATTCCATAATAGAGAAGCTAGATTTTTTTAAATAAATGCTGTTTAGTTAAAATTATTTTATGGAGAAAACCAGATATTTGGACCAAATGCACAAAAATATTACTTATTTGGCACCATACACTTTAGAATTTCATTAAATGCAGTATTTATATTCTTAAATTCTTAAACCATCCATTGTTATTGTAATGTTATAAAGATTTATACATTTTTAACGCCTAAACATCATATTATTTCTTTCGTTGATTATACTTTGACAGATACATAACCTGAAAAGCCTTAAATGCCAAATTTTCAAAAGACTGCGTTCCGTACGTGGTCACGTGGTGGGACTTTGAGGTTTGGAGCATAGTACCAGTCTCCCGAAGGAACTAAAGAGAGGCTTAAGTGAATAGTAGCAAGTTGCAACAAAAGATAAGTTCAATAGCTTTTATCCGCATGATTTAATTTGCATTCTCTACTAAAAAGTTCTCTTGCATTTTCTCGAAGAGATTAGGCGTCTTTAACTCATCTAAACCAGCTATTAATTATAACTATTCGTATAAATCGGTAATAAACCAAAACTAAAAACAGCAGTGATATGCAATAGACGTTAACATAAACAAATAGTGCAGTCACCTAGACATCAACAATAAACATGCCAACACACCACTATTTTAATAGGTCTTTACTGAAATAAAGCTAACTTTCCTTTAAAGATAATTTTCGCATAATTCGTTATAAACAAAAAACCTATTGTTAACTATCGATTCATTGCCGACTACCAAAAACTATCGATGGTTCTCGACCCTATAGGGTCTATAGTCTATAGACTGAAGCCTAAATCGGGCGTATGGTACTGCCCGGCGACAAATGGTGGCAAGCTAAAAGAAGACAACCTTAAACAATTTAAGCTCAAATAACAAAAAAACTAGGAAATGGTACATCTTCAAATGTTACAAATAAATAAATCAAACACAAACAAACATTAAATATTAATTATCCGGCAAAATTAGAGGGGAAACGAATTTTAAACGAATTAATCCGTAATGCTTACTTAGGCATAGCGACATGCAGAGAGGGAACACATTGGGACTTCCAGCCATAGTTGTGACAGATTATTTTCCGAAATTAAACCGCCGCGCACGGCCCGAAATTAATCAAGCGAAATAATTCGTTTCCAGCGCGTGTTTGCAGACTTACTTAGCCAGGCTCTGGTAACGGTAACCGTAACGCGTTGTTACATCGCAGCAAAGGCAAATATACAGAGGGCATAATTTATCGTTGCAATAAGGCCTTTTCTTAATAAGTTTGCACCCCGTTCACAGCCAGTGCAGAAGTATGTATGTGTACACCTATTATAGTTGTTGTAATATTGGAAAGGTTTTTTTTAGAATGCATCTTGAATATTTTATAGGGAAAACATTGGGTAGGAAAGTGGAAAACAAGGCTTCATTTATATTTCAAGTTAAGTTCAACGATAGCTTACAAGCGCTCTTAAAGAAAACAAACAATTTGGTTTGTACTTGTATACTTTATCTACTACCACATTTATTCCAGAAGAAAATCGTTGTAGGTAAAGTGGTGTTTAATAATTAGTTTGATTTAAATATTTTGTTTATTTATAGTTAATTTAAACACCTGAAATAACCGTAATTTGCGTAAAGGAAAACGTGGTATCATTTTGTACACTGAAAAAAAAGATTTCTTATATTTAGAAAACCTATCATCTTAAACATATTTTTTTAATTCAAGTCAACTTGCTTTAAAAAGATATTCTTATTCTTTTTTATTTGTTTAATTTTTTTATATTAGGAATTAGATATTCTTTAATATTTTTATTCGTTTTAATAAACAGTATTTTCTTTTGCCAAGAATACATATTTTTGAAATGGTGTAGGAGTGGAGATGCCGACACGTTCCTCTGAAATTTTATGCCTAATCATTTGCGTATTTCCTTAAAAAATTATTAGAAGAGTGGTCAGAATCGAAGGAAATTATAAAAAAAATTGTTATTGATATACCACCCTTTTTTAAATTTAGCGTCGCATTTACGGTAGGTAGGTAGGTTTATTGTTTAAATATTTACTAATATACATTAAAGAATATATTCTCTTCGTTATATATGAGACAAAGATTGTTTTGAATCAAATAAATTTATTTGATACAAGAGTACTTTTTTTCATTGTACAGGCATTTCAGGGCTCTGTATATTATTTGCAAAAATGGCGAATGCTCCGGGACACAACACATTTATAAATCCTCCAACAAAATTTCGAACAAAACCACTTAAAATCCAAAACTTTTCTATTATCCCTCATCTCGCATTGTAATATTAAAACACGCGCAAGAACAAAATAAAAACTCGTATAAAAATTAATCAAAAAACAATTTCAAACTAATCGACTTACCCGCGGTGACCGAAGGATGGATCGAGACGGCCGCGCTAAACAAAAGAAACCACGCCACGCCAGCCATCTTGGATTTTTGGGTTTTCAGCTTATCTGTAAAAAAAGAATATTTATCTATTTTGCGTTCATAATGACTTTCGGTGCTGTAATGAGATACTTTATCCCACCCAAAATTTTGATTTTACAGGTTGGCTATAATTAAACAGCATAATATTGGTTATAATATTTTTATGATTTTTCTAGTACTTACGAGGCTTTTCTGGCAATAAATTTTGTTTAACACCAAAGAAAATCCTTTTTTTCTGCTTTAACATTAACAGCCGCTTATTGTAAATAAGTAAATTAAGGACGGCATGGCGAATCGATTTTGACATTAACTGTCAAACCAATGACTGTGATACCAACTGTCTAAAGTAAAATTCGACAAAATTAAATTTAAGGTATAAAATTAATCTTTTTTATAGAATTTTTGCAAAATAGATAAAATAGCATAAAGAACTCATGTTATGACATTTTGTCGCAATCGTCCATTAAAAATTGTCCGCGTGTGACAAAATGACGTATTATGACATTATTTCTTTAATATACTATTATCTAGAATGTTTATAAAGAAATAGTATATTAGGTATCAAGTTTGATAAACGCCATTTTATACACGAATTTAATTTAGGCACGAGCGAGCTTGCGAGCGAGTTCTTAAATTAATGTGTGTATAGAAAAGTTTATAAACGAGGTGCATACTATACTTTTTCTACGACAAATACTTATTAATATCTTAAAATGATTTAAATCAAATATTTTTATAGAGCGCCATCTATGAAACAATAGGGAAATCTGTGTCTCACCGTCAAATGTCAAATTTTTTAAACACAGATTATAAAGGTTATAAATCGAAATGTATTTCTTGAAAATGGACAGTTTTTTTACAGTGAAAGTAAAGAAAATGTTTTATGAGCACTTTACAGTGGAGTCCGTGCCAGAATTTAAGTTATAGTTTACTGCCGGGAAATTAAAAGGTCAGTACAATGTTCATATAAACTTTTCAAATATTGGCGTTGAGAAACTATTTAATACTTTTGTATTTTTGTATTAAGATAATAAAATAATTTTCACTTGTAGTATTATATTTACAAGAAACGCACTTTATTTTAACGATTGTATGACATTTGACAACTTTCAACTATCTTAAAACTAACTTCAACTCGTGACTAAAAACCGGTTGCTAACTTCAGCCCGTGACTAAAACGCCGTAAAGCCACAACTTGTCAATGTGTATTTAAAAGGTAGGAGTAGAAAAATTAATTTAAAATCAATGTGTTAAATTCTGATGTTTATTGGCTTGGTTAGGTGCCTAAATAGCCGTTAAAACACATATAACGCATAAAATTCGCACAACGATAAATTGTAGGCTTAATTTTTCGACAATGGCCCAAATTAACGCCATTTTCAATGTTTAAAACTGTAATCAGTGCGAGTATTAAAAAGAATTGCTAAATTAAAAAAAAAGATGCTTTGTTCTGCTTTGAAAATGAATTATTATTACTACGCTTATTTGAACGTTTAATTTTAAATTCAGGTGCTTGTTTTATACATATCGATTAACGTTATTAAATGTAATAAATATCCATTGTTTTGCGCGATAAGATATAAATAAATAAAATGCATTGTTTTGTAAAACATGCTCAAACGTGTTTAATTGTCAAAACAGTTTTATAAAATGTTTTGCATTTTCATTTGAGTCACATAAAATGTTTTGTCTATTTTGATGCTTCTACAGTTGTTAGACGCTGTTTATAATGTTTAGGCCGGAACAGGATGATTTATATAAATATCTAATATTTTTTCGGGTGGTATGTTAAAAGTATTTTTCAAATTTATTAATTTTGTTGTCATTAGTTTTTTTATGTTCTCCATCATGCACTGTATTTAAATCAGTGTTATTCTGCAAGATGTCCTGTGACGAAGAAATCACTATATTACTTACTTTCTAAAAATTAATTAGTCAAAAATGTCATAGCGAAAAAGCAGCCACTAATAATTCTCGTCAACAGCAATTTGTATCCAGGACATTTAGCAGTCAATTCCTATGAAATATTATTCGCTGAATCCGAAAATGTTGTCAAAAGTTATAAAAGTAGAACAGTTTTTGAAATATAATCAATTTTACATATAATATGGAATTGACTATATCTCAAAAACTGCTTAACTTTTATAGTTTTTGAAGTTCTTTTCGGATTCAGGGGACAATTTTACATAAGAATTGGCTGGTAAATGTCCAGGATACAAATAGATTATGATATTGGACATATGTCCAATAATAGAAATTCATGACACTGGTCATTTTACTGTTTGTTTTCAGAATTAAAATTAAAACGCATTAAAGTGACAATGTTTAAACCACGAGGAACACATTTATACCACACACTGATCTGTACACTTTTTAGAAATATTTTTTATTTTAATTTAAACACAGTAACGTGCGAACTTTTTTGTCCTATATTGGATCCAAAATAAAGTAGTTCTATATTATTACCGACTGAGATATTTATAATTGTATACAGCGTCATCTAATGATTTGACTTTAAGGTAACTTTTTATAGAACTCTTGTTTTTACAGTATTAATGTTAAAGTGTCTTCTTTACCCTATATTATGTTATAAGAGTATACTCTTAAGTAATTTGAAATTCAATATTCCTTAAAATCCATTAAAACTCCAGATCCTTTTAATCAAAAAAACAAATAAAAATTAATATTAAGACTTGAGCAGAGCTTTGAAAAAGTTACGCAAACTTTTTTTTTAATAAGAATCGCAGAAATTGGATTATAAATTTCTGGGCACGCAGCAAATAAAAAATATCCGAAATTTTAAATTGGCTTTAAGATTGAAATGTTTTGAAAGTAGTAAGTGTGCGTAGCTATTCGCTTTTGATGTTTGAAGGCAATATTTTTTTTTATATCTACTTAAAATGTCGACGAAAGAAATGGATTAATTTGTTTAGAAATCGAAAACAGTCAGTGGTATATGTCGATTTTAAATTTAACCTTTCACTTTTTACGTCCGATTGATGCTCATGTAGCTATTTTTTAAGTGTTCCACAAAATCATAATGAATGTTCAACCCGCCGTTTTTATCCACACAAAGTTAACAGCGGCGTAGAAAAATATGATGTGTGCTCTTTATATCCTTTAAGGATGATTTCGGATTTTACATAATACACTGTGCTTTACCAGTTACTTTTTTGCTTGGATGAATAATATCATTGTTTTAGAGGTAAAACCAATGATGATATATAGGATAGTTCAGTGACATCCCTGTAAACACAGTAAGAAAAAAATGTATGGTGATTTTCATTATAATACCGAACAGTTATAATCTCGAATAAAGTTAATTGGATTAAGTAATGGTCTCTTTCAGTTCTCTCTATGGTGTATTCAACGTCTACACTTATCTGAAATCTTGTTTACATTCGATTTCATCAGTATCTGTTTCAATTTGTTAGCGAGCATGGAATCTGTTTGCCCAAGCGAATCAATCGAAATTAAACGTTAATAAAGAGATCTTAAACTACTCTAATTTAGGATTTTTTTTTACTCAGTATACGTTTCAAACGGCACACAATCAATCAATTATACTAGGGTAAAGTAGACGGTTATCGGACACTATAGTTATTGGACAATTAAAATTAATACTGTCAAATCATTATATGACAACTATCTCAGTCGGTAATAATATAGAACTAAGTACTTTATTTTGAGTCCAATATAGGACAAAAAGTTCGCACGCTACTTTGGTGGTAAGATTTTTGTTTTTTTTTGTTAAAAGCAGGTCTGTTTTTAAACTACAATAAAAAATATTTCTAAAAAGTGTACTGATCAGTGTGTGGTATAAATGTGTTCCTGATGGTTTAAACATTGTCACTTTAATGCGTTTTAATTTTAATTCTGAAAACAAACAGTAAAACGACCAGTGTCCAATTACTGGTTGGTAAAAAATGTAAATTTCTATTATTATTTAGTTATTATTAGTTTTTTTCAACAGGGCAATCATTATAATTCCGGTAAGTAATGTAGTAAAGTGCAAACTGAATTAGATAAAAGTCCCTAAGGGTGGAAAGACAATTTTGCATCGGTGTGAAAAAATAAATCTTGGTCGAGGAGACAATTTTCCTGAAATTAATTTTCATGAAAAATGCAATAACAACGTCCGGAAAAGTTGTGTTTTACCCTTTTTAATGTCATAAAAAGGAAACTTCTATTTTCCTGTTCTGAGACCCTTAGTTTTAGAGTTGCAAGTTTTAGTTTTCCGTTTTTAAGATTAGCAAGATTAGCGATTTTTAAATGCAGATCAGATAAAAAATAAGAAGGTGTGAATGCTGCTATAGACACATAAATAAACATCAAAACATCCGCTGTCAATTATGATTTTGTGGAACACTTAAAAAAAATAGCTACATGAGCATGCATCAATCGACGTAAAAAGTGAAAGGTGAAATTTAAATTCGACGGGAAAACCAAGGAAATTTCCACTTATAAAATCTCGAAAAAAAAAAATTTTAAAAGCTAGTTTTTCGAATGCAATAATTGCCCATAAAACATAATAAATCTCCGTGTTTGCCTCTGAAAGCATTCGATAATCCGGTAAAACTAAAATCCGTTGAAACATGAAAATCAACATCTTTTTAGAGTTAGTTAACGCATGGCCAAGCACCGAGCAGATCTCTTGATTTGTTTGTGTTGCAACGACGTCTGTAGAGAAAGAGAAAAGTCTGATTTGGGTTCTATGTTCTCCCCGATAAAATTATCGACGATATCTTGATTTATTTTTATGCGGAAAAATCAGGTGGAAATTATGTTATAGGGTATGAATTTGTAAATGCTCTTGCATGCAAATGACAAAAGCAGATATGGCTTCTATGATTTATCCGAATAGGTAACATGTGTACCTACTAGTTAAATTATAACTATTGCGGTTGCGATTTTCATAATTTATAGGGACCACCAATTTCATTCAGTGGCGGCTCGTGGATTATAAATAAAAAAAATTAAATTAAAAAAAAAATAACAAAGAAAATATCAAAGCAATCTTAACCCA